CTACCAACAGTCGGTTGTAGATGAGGAAGGGGTAACATGACCCTATCACTGTGAAACTATTGGCAACTGTATTAGTCAGGATTCTCTAGAGGACCAGAACTTATAGAACATATACACCTATATTTATGGGATCTATCAGAATTCTAGTGGTCCAACTGTCTACCAAAAATAGGTCTAAAATCCCAGTAACTATTCAGCTCATCAGGCTGGATGTCTCAGCTGGTCTGTTTTATATGTCAGAATTCAGGGACGTAGGCTCTAGGCCAGTGAAGGAGTAGACTTGACAGTAAGAGCAGGCAAGCAAGGAGCAAAAGCTTCCTTAGTCCATGTTCCATGCCAGCAGGAGGTGTGGCCCAAATTAAAGGTGGATCTTCCCTCCTCAAATATCTGGATTAGGAGTGGGTCTTCCCAGTTCAAATGATTTAATTAAGAAAGAAAGCAAACACCTCACAGGTGTACCCAACCATTTGGGTTTTCGTTAATTCCAGATGTAGTCACATTGGCAGCCTAGAACAGCCAGTACAGCAACATCTGGGGATATGGGAAGGCAGAGTGTCTAGCTGCATCCCACTGGCGAGCACGCCAGGCTCTAATGGGTAGCTTAAAATCTGGAGTCACACAGGCAACCCTAGATAAACTCTGTGAGAACAAAACAAAGAGTCATGAATATGGGAAGAAGGTTCGTAAGGAGAGGGGGACCAGCACAGCTGGGAGGGAAACAGGAGAGGACGAGGGAAGTGTAACTGGGGTGCATTATCATCACGAATGGAAGTGTCAAAGAACAGAATTTATTACTAAAACAACAACCAAAAAAACTCAGAAAAATACGGCATTTATTTTTTCTTAAAAGAGCAATTTTGGAGGGCTGGAGAGATGGTTCAGTGGTTACAGCACTTTTTGCTCTTGCAGAGGACCCAGGTTCAGTTCCCAGAACCCACAAGTCTGGAACTCCAGTTCCAGGGTATTCAATGCCTTCTTCTGGACTCCTTGGACCAGACACAAGCAGAGTGCACATACACACATACAGGCAAACACTCATAAACACAAATAAAACAAATCTTAGAAAACAGCAACCTCAAGGCTGGGAATGGAGTTGGTGGATATAAGCAAGCCTCCAAGTTGAACTCCAGTGCCAGAGAAGACAAATAGACAACACACAGTTTAAATTGCAAGCTTGAAGAAAAATGACTCAGGAGATACACGCACACGGGTGTGCAAATACTCCCATGCACATGCATATATACACATGGAAAATATAACGGCATTAAAGTATTTTCTATACTATGTGAGTCCAGAGCATTGCTTCCTAAGGTACTGCTATGGTGTAATCTCTTGAGTAGCTTCTGGAACTTCATATGCCTGGATGTGAACACAAGGACTGTTTTATGAGCTGATGTCTGAACATGCGAAGTATTTAAGTCTAGCTAAGGTACAATGTAACTGGGTACCACTAAGCTGGAAAGAACATTAGAAATAAAGCATGGGTGCTAAATGAGGTAGATATTTCTTTTCTGGCCTTTTGACAACCCAGATTCAAGAGAAAAACAGTCAAACAAAAGAACTCTAAGGCTAAATGTGAGCTCCACAGTCTAGACCAGTGGTTCTCAGCTTGTGGGCTGCAACCCCCACAGGGGTAACAATCAAATATCCTGCAGATCAGATATTTATATTGTGATTCAAAACAGTGCAAAATTACAGTTATGAGGTAGCATACACAAATAAATGATTAGGGGTCACCGCAGCATGAGGAGAGTATTAAAGGGTCACAGCGTTAGGAAGGTTGGGAACCACCAGTCTAGACATTCAGACATGACCTGAGGATACAGTCACAGGCTTCTATAGTTAAGAATGCTACTTCATTCTGTAAAAGGTTAGCAAGGAGGGCAAACAGGCTAAACAAGACTATGTGAACTTGCACTTAACCATGTCTGCACACACTTAATCTCGTCTCAAACTGAGCCGGACGAGACACTGTTGAATTATTTACAAAGGACACCTGGACTTCAGAAGGTCTCTGGGATTTGGAGACTCTGCAGACAGTTGGGCCCTTGGAACTCTTCAGCTCAGGTTCTGCCCCAGGCAGTTCGTTTGAAAACATTTTCACACTTTTCCTTTGTGAAAATAAACAAAAGAAAAGCAAGTTTCTCTGATCAAACATGCAGTAATCAAACATTTAAGCAAGTATCAGACCAGCCCCTGCTCCAAGTTCCTAGCATCACACAGCAAACTAGGTAGGACAGAAACGCATTAAGTTTAAGGTCCTAGTTGCACCAGCCTCTATATGTGATCTTAGGAGTTACTGCTTTGTTTTGTTGAGCTTTGTAAACAATCAAACAATTGGTTTCCTACTGCTTTACAAACTATTAATAATGGCCACACATTTGGGAATGCAGTTCGGTAGGAACAGGGTAGTTCCTCATGACACCAGAAGGATTTAAAGCAGGGCATGATGCATGTTTTTAATCCTAGCACTCAGGAGGAAGGGGCAGGCAGAGCCCTGTGAATTCCAGGCCATCCTGGTCTACATAGGGAATTCCAGAACAGACAGGGCTCTGTAGAGACCCTGTCTCAAAACAAAAAAGAAAACTAAATAGAAGGATCTTTTTAAAATGTTTCCACTTTTCCCTAGACCTCCTTTCTCATGCCAGTTCTGGTATGGCATGAAATTTGTAACTTTAACTTAGCTCATTAAAAGTCACACATTAATTCACTGATGCAAAGCTATCTCTATAGCTCCTGTGTGCTGGACCTGCTTTTAAATTTTTAAATGGAGTAAAACTTTCAGAAAGGGGCCGGAGGGTTAGGGAGAATCCAGAGTTGTAAATGCCCCACCTTTCCCATCACAGAAGACTTTTCTATCCTAAGCTGAAGTATCTTTTCTCCTGCCAAAGTGATGGGAACTCAAAGGCGTCAGCCGGCTCCATCAGAGGCCTGATAACAATACTCTACACACCCTATTCCGACGTCCCCAAACACATCCCAATCAGAACAAGCAGACAAAGAAATGTACTGGCTTGGAGTGTGGCTGTGTCTCATTTCCATTTTAAACAGCACAAATTATAATTTGATTACACTATAAAAGTGATTCACATTTTATTTTTTTAAAGGGGAAGAAAAGGAGGAAAAATAAGCTTCAGTTCTCCCAGATTCTCTTTTTCTACAATAAATTTGGGACTGGGCAAAAAGATGAACTAGAAGAACAGTCAATTGTTGATGGTCCCAGTCTGTTAGGAGCGAAACGGGGCTAGACTCCTGTCTCTTAAATAAAAGATAAGATCTGCAAGATAAAGTCCTAGGTGTGGGCACGCCGCTGTTGTGGAGCACCCACCTAGGCTGTGCAGGGGCCTGGGGCTACCCCCACCTCAGCCACCCGCATCTGAAGAGTGAACACCTAACATCTACCCTAAAACAAAAGGCTAGTCAATTCTGCTGAAATCCTGCATTTAAGAGGCATCTTAAAAACAAACAAAAAGATAAAACAAGTTTTACAACTTTTGACACCCCATTGTGGTATTCAAATCTGCCCTTTAAGCAGACCCTGGGTGTGTGTGTGTGTGTGTGTGTGTGTGTGTGTGTGTGTGTGTGTCTGTCTGTCTGTCTGTCTGTCTGTGTACTTGCAACATGAAAACTCGAAGCATATTTTTGGATGTTGATAATCATTCTCAAAAAGAAGACGACTTGGCATAGGAAAGTGTTGGGACAATGTAAATCCAAAGATACATCTATGTAATGGTAAAGGAGGTCACAGTTCCCTGGTGTTAAAGGGAAAGACGCTTTAGAATGCATCCTTTTTCCTAACTAATCTTGAATAGTTTCTATTTTAAATTCTAATAGCCTCTCCTTTCTCCCCACAGGTTCTCCCTGGAAACCTGGAGAACACCAAATTTAGAACACAATGCTATGAAAAACACCGCGAAGCACACGTGGGGCTGGATGACATGGTACTTTATCTGTACGAATTTATGAATTTATTGAGTCACCATCTTCATGAATATGGTAAAAAAAATACTTCAAGTAAAGAAATAATTTGTACCTCGTCAGCACTACTAGCAGACAATGAGAATGAAGCTAGTTTTCACCCCGACCCTGCTAACCCAGTTCAATAATTTGGGAAAATACCAACGCCTGTTTCATAACACAGGTACTTTTTCCTCCCTTCCCATCCTTTAATAAACTCTCTAGATAGACCTTTTTAAATCTGCCTAATTAGTTAGCAGCGTCCTTCAACCCACAGATCATGTGTCCCACATTTTGTGCAGGACCCGCCTTGAAAACAAACCCGATTGCCCCATTTTCGGAGAGGTAAACTCAGCTCCAGGCAGCTCCCTATGAAGTCACCGCGTTTGTTATTTCAAAGATGCAATTAAGCGAAAATAACAGAAGGTTGTCGAAAAGATTAGTCGCAAATGTGGGGAGGTGTCGGTAAGGCCAAAGAAACCTGCACTATCATAACACGTTCCTGTATCTCTCGGTCCTCCCTCCTCGAACACACACAGAAGGAAATTAAATTTCCAAAGTTCCGTGACTTTGGCTTAAACTTTTAACTCTGCAGCCCTCCGCGCTCACGTGAAGAGCAAAAAGAAAAACTGGAAGATTGACCTGGAGCAAAGAGGAGCAAACTCATAAAAGGGCTGGGTCAGGGCAGCGTCTCCCTGCCGTCCCCCCCCCCGTTCCCACCCCCTTCTCCGATCCCTTACACAGACACATTCTTCTGGGCGGCCTCTCACCACACCATCTCCACAATCATTTACAGAAATTAGAAACAGACTCCGGGAGCCCTTCCCTCCGCGCTCCGCGCAGGACTGTCGGCACCAGCTCCACGGGGCCGTGTCACTCGCTGTGACCCACTCACACAGTCCGTCGCGCCCACTCGGGGAGGGTGAGACTGGGAGAGACTGCAGGTCGTGTTTCCCACCTCGGCGCACCAGGCGGCCAAGAGAACCACCGAGGGACCCGAGGGGACGTCCCGCCAACCCGGCCTGGCCGCGCGGGCTTCTTACCGGCGCGTGGGGAGTCGCGGTGCGGCCACCGGAGCGCAGCGCGCGGGCGCC